AATAAGCTAGAAGAAATGCTGCTGCACAAAAAGACCCCCACAGCACCAGTAGTCAGAGGACTGCAAATCTGGGATCAGGGGATAAAGGAATGGAAAGGTAGACCAGGTAGGTCCCCAGCGAGGCTGCAAAATGGCTACCTCCAAGGGGCCTCGCTCAGGCTCAGGGGCTGTGTGGAGTTTACTCATCTGAGGAAAGCAGCTGAGGGAAGGGGGGAGGAAAAGTGCCAGCATCCCACCTGTGCAAAACCCTGGCCCCGACACAGCCTTGGTGACTGCAGGAAGCACAGTACCCCATCGACAGGACGGTCAGTGTTCACAGCTGCCCCTGAAAGGCCTCCGTGTGACCACCATCCATGAGGGAGGGATGAGTGTCATGGCAGATGCTCTGGACATCGGGAAAGTACATTGCTGCTCTGAGGCTCACACAGCAAACCACTGCAGAAACCCTGCCAGCTGAAACTTCAAAGGGGTGGATTTTATTGTGCATAAATCATCTAAATCATCGTATTTCTACACTGCTAGGAGAATGTGAGAATCTACTACACTGAAAAGGCAGGGTGTCTAAGAGACAGTTTGGTGGTTAGGAGCATTTGCTTTCTTGCAGAGGACCTGGGTTCAGTTCCCAGCACCCACATGGTGGCTCACAACTGTCTGGAGCTCCATGTCTAGGGGATCCAATGCATTCTTCTGGCCTCCGTGGGCACTTCGTGCCTGTGGAGCATTTATGTTTATCAAAGCACTCAGAAAATAAAAATAAAGAAAAACCTCAGGCACAGCAGGCAGCACCAAGTAACAAAATTTATTACAAGTGAAGAATACACACATGTTCATATGTATAAACACAAATATCACACACATGCGTATATACATGCACACACGTACACACACATACACACGTACACACATACACAGCAAAGCACAGAGAGAGACTCCCAGCAAAACAGAGAGAAGACTGATAGCCAAATCCCATGCGGCGGAGCCTGGGTCTTTCAAGCTTTGGGGCTGTTTTGGCAGCACAGGGAAAGTTCCCCTCCTGATATTGGGCTGGTCTGCTTAAACAAAGAAAGAGTTGCAGATAGGCCCACAGCTCTAGGTAAACACGTTTAGGACAGACCTTGTACATATCTGACCAACCTTTGACCAGTCAGTCAGAAAGGTCCCTGCCCCTCCCCTGAGGCTTTGTCTCAGGTCAGGAAATCGAGGAAGAAGCTAGAAGTTTTCCATCTTGATTATTGCTCTGTGACCCTTTCCCTATCTGTCTGCCTGTCAGGGATGTTTTTTAGCTTCTGCTTCCTCAGAAGGAGAGAACCGAACCTTGAGAGTTGCTCCTTGACCTCTCCACACATTTTGTAGTGTGCCCCCTCAAAACAAACAAACAAACAAACATAATAAAACTTTTAAAAGATGCAAGAGTGTTTGCGTTTTCAATGACCCTCATAGGAGAAAAATCAGAGTATTCTCCGTGCACCCTCCGAGCTCTGAGTGGCCGAGCCCCTGGGGGACACTCCTCAAGGTCTCCTCTGAGGCAGGTTTCTTGTGCAGACCCTCACCCTCCAGCAGGAGCTTGGCCAATAACTCAGAAGAGAAGGACCAGCCAGCCTGCAGCCTGTGAACCCCGAGACAAAAGTAACAGCTGGGATCACACCTTGCGCCCTCTCCCTCAGAGCACACTGATGACAAAGAGATGAGAAGATGAAAAGGACAGAAAGGAGAGTGAGTAGGGTCTACCGTGTGAGGTACACTGCCCAGGAGTGGCAGGGCTGGCTGTAGCGGAGCCCGGAGTGTGGCAAGAGGCCAAGCTGCAGTGTGGGAAGACTGGGATGGTGGGGATGAAGGCGCAGCTATGAGAGCCCACACTCAGGAAGCTCCAGACGTTGTTGTATGTATTCTGCCCGTTTTAAAGAGGATAGGGCCTAAAAAGAAGGCTCCGCGGTTAAAGAGTTCTTGCTGCTCAATCATGAGGACTGGAATTCAGATCCCAGCACCCATGCTGAGTGGCTCACCCGTAATTCCAGCTACAAGAGATGCCTTTTTCTGGCCCCCTCAGAGGCCAGAGACCTACATACACACCATCTTACACACACACACACACACAAATAAGTAAATAAATATGTTTAAAAAATAAAGGAAAGTAAACCAATAAAAGACAGAGTTCAGTGGGGTGTGAGAGGCTGGGGTAGACACTGTCTCTTCTCTATGCTTGGGGACAGCTGTAGGGCTTTGGTGTCAGGAGTGGCAGGGGCGGAACTGGCTGTAGATAAATGTCAACAGCTTCTAAAAATAAACAGCCCCGAACTCTGGTGCTCAGAACTCCTGAAGGTAGCGCCACTGCAGTGTGGGCCATCCCTCTGGGGCACTTGGAGCTTTGTGCTCCGACTCTCCATCGGGAGCAGGACCCATATTAACTCAGCTTCATCTGTGTTAGTCCCCTGGCTTCCCAGCGACAGTTCCAGGCTATGCCAGGAAAACTCCAGGCTGCTGCTATCGAGCCAAGACAAATGGCCAAGCTGCCCGCTGTGCTTGAACTGGATCTTATGACACATGTGTTCCCCAGACTATTCACCAGACACTAATGCATAGGGCATGGCTGGCTGTGGATGCATGCTTGCAATCCTAGCCTCCAATAGTTTAGAGCACGACAATCCCCAAAGCTTAAGGCCAGCCTGAGCTATGTGGTGAGGTCCTCCTTCAAAAGCAAAACCAAACAAGGACAGGCAAGATGGCTCACTGAGTAGAGGCGCCTGCAGCCAAGTCTGACTATCTGCATTCGATACCTGAAACCCACAGTGTAGAAAGAATGTTGGAAGAGAGAGTTGTTTCCAGAGAGCTGGCTTCTGACCTCCACAACACACATAATAAATAATGCAAATAAATGTAAAAAAATAAAGAAATCAGGGAGATGGACAGGAGTAGGTGGAGAGGTTGGCCAACCCAAGTAAGTATATTTGAAAATGCCTGTAACTTTTATGCACGTGGAAAATATTCAGTTGAACGGAGGCTGGATGGAGAAGGAAGGAAAAGCGTGCAGCTGGCCTGGAGGCCAGTGCTCTCCAGGCACTATTGGCAAGCTGTCTGAGGCGTGGCAGGGAGAGCTGCATTCTCCTTGGGGGAGGAGCCTCTTGATCCAGCACAGATGTTCACTGCGGGAAGGAGCAGGTGACTTCTTCAAGGAACAGGGTGAGGCTGACAATTCTGCATTTTCTGGAGGCCTGACCCCACCCAGGATTCTGTCAACCCACAGACCCGACCGTGGGAGTGGAATAATGCCTTTCCCAGTGACCCCTTATGACATTGTCAAAGCTGATAAATATACTACAATGTCTTTGGCTTCATGTTTAAGTAGCTCACAAATAGCATTTTCTCATCCTGGCCACCTTGTCCGAAGGTGCTTAGTCACTGTTCAGTGGCAGAGCAAGAAAGCAAGGTTCTCACAAGTACTGTCCCTGTCTAAACATGTATTGCCAAGGCTGCTCACAGCCAGAAGATGGCAGCCAAACCCTTGTCCTTGCCCCTAAATGTTTCCTCTCTTCTTTGAAATACAGTCTTAGCCAAGCACTGTGGAGCACCCCTGTAATCCCAGCACTCAGAGAGGCAGAGGCAGGCAGATCTCTGTGAGTTCAAGGCCAGCCTGGTCTATAAAGTAAGTCCAGGACAGCCAAGGCTACACAGAGAAAACCTGTCATGAACCTCCTCCCCCCAAAAAAGTCTCACTACATGGCCCAAGCTAAACCAGAACTACTATATAGCTCAGGCTGGTCTCAACATCATTATCCTCCTGCCTCAGCATCCCTAGTACAGGCCTGAGCTAGCTACCTTGGTCCCTTATGCCTAATCTATTTTAACATCTTATGTATGCTTGTGTGTTCGATTGTGGCTGTGGATGTGCCAGAGTGTGAAGTATCTATCTTGGTTAGATAGTTTTCAAATTTATTTGTGGAAGCATCCAGAAGCAGGCTGCAGCACAGTGGAGAAAAGTCTGCTCTAGGTCGCACATGATGATGACGCTTTCAGCTTTTGGGCTGGTGGAAGCAAGTGAGTATGTTCCAAAGAAAAACTGGCTATCTGTCCTTTCCAACTGTCTCACCTCTGCCACAAAGCTGCTAGGTCTATCTGGAGGGATTAAAGACGGCCTGAGATAATTTGGCTCTGAACTTGCAACATTCCAACCTCTACACAGCCACTGAATGTACCAATCAGCTATCAGCCCCGCAGAAAGCTCAGTTTGAAAAAGCAGCTTCTTTCTGGGAAATTTTGTCCATATTTGCTATGGACCCTGCTTTTGCCTTTCATACAAAGCTTCCATCTTTAAAGAGAGAGAGAAATACATCCTGGAGTGATGGGGCCGGGGTGAACTAACATTCACCTGTTACTCTGGACCTTTGAAGTGTCTCACAATGAACTTAACGTCTGGACCACTGACTATTCTGTACGTGTTTCACAGATAAACACATTTAGGGTTTTTAGTAGGATGAACTCTGTACCTGTGCAAGGAAGAACTATCAAAATCACACACACACACACACACACACACACACACACACACACACACACAC